AGAAAAACCAGGAGGTATTTTCATATATACTTCTTCATGTAAGTCACCATGTAAGAAAGCATTTTGAACATCCAACTGATGCAAAGACCAATTTTTATTCGCTGCCACTGCTAACAAACACCTCAAAGTAACCAATTTAGCCACAGGTGCAAATGTTTCATTATAATCAAGACCTTCTTGCTGAGTAAAACCTTTGGCAACAAGATGAGCTTTATACCGCTCGATTGTACCATCAGTTTTATATTTAATTTTGTAGACCCATTTACAACCAATGGGAACTTTACCTTCTGGTAACTCAGTTAGAATCCAAGTCTGATTATCCTTAAGAGCTTTAATCTCTGTTTCCATTGCTTGTCTCCAATTTTCATCCTTAACAGCTTGAGAATAATTAGAAGGCTCATGCATACTCGAAATAGAAGCAAGGAAAGCATAATGATTTGGTGATAAATTTTTTGCAGATAAAAAAGAACTAATAGGATATGGTGTACCTGACTTGGAGTCCAATTGAGTAGTAGCGAGCGAGCATTGATAATCGGAGAAGTATCGAGGACATATACGAGTTCTAGTGGAACGCCTTAAAGGTTGGGCAGGATGTAAATTTGGTGATGAGGATGACACATTTGTGGGTAATGCATGTGTAGGAGAAATAGGTGAGGACGGTGATGGACTTACAGGTGACGAAATTATGGGTGATGGTGTGGATGATAATATATTATTAGCAGGAGACTCCATAGGTAGAAAGCTACATTCATTATCATTGATTGGAATAGGTAAAACCACATGATTATTTTCTGTAGTAGGAGCTGTTTTAAAAGGAAAAAAGGTCTCATGAAAGACAACATCTCGACTTATAAAGACAACTTTTGTATCCAAATCATAAAGTTTATAACCCTTTTGTCCAAAAGGATAACCAAGAAAAATGCACTTACGAGCACGGGCATCAAATTTATTTGGATGATGATGATTATATGCAAAACATAAACAGCCAAAGACTCGTAAATGACTGTAGTTAGGCTTGACATTATGCAGAACTTCAAAAGCAGTACGATTACCAAGCAAAGGACTAGGCATGCGATTGATCAAATAAGTAGCAGTCAAGATACACTCACCCCAAAATTTTAAAGGAAGGTTGGATTGGAATCTTAATGCCCGTGCAACTTCAAGCAAATGCCTATGTTTTCGCTCTACTACACCATTTTGTTGGGGGGTATAAACACAACTAGTTTGATGAAGAATTCCATGAGTAGAAAGGTATGACTGTAGATCAGAATTTAAGAATTCAAGGGCATTATCACTGCGAATTTTCTTAATATTGACACTAAATTGTGTATTGACCATAGCAACAAATTGTTTCAAAAAAAATGCTACTTTAGATTTATATCGCATAAGATAAACCCAAGTACAACGTGAAAAATCATCTACGATGGTCAAGAAATATTTAGCTCCTGACAATGAATTAAGAGAAAAAGGTCCCCAAACATCCACATGAATTAATTCAAAAGGAATATTAGTAGAAATACTACTAGAAGGAAATGGCAAACGATGTTGTTTAGCCAAAGGACAAACCTCACACAAACAATTTTCATTAATAACAATTTCTTTATTGAATTGAGAAAGAAAATTCAATCTCTGATGGGACAAATGTCCTAAACGAAAATGCCAAATATCAAAGGTAGAAGGAATTTGAACATTCAAGGCAAAAGAATTTGACCGAAATAGATACAACTCCCCTTCACGCTTCGCCACTCCAATTGTCCTCCAAGTTGATAGGTCCTGAAAATAACAGAGACTTGGTGTGAATATGGCAATATAATTAAGTGTAGATAGAAGGGCGCTAACAGAGAGAAGATTGTGCTTGAAGGATGGCACACAAAAAACATTTTTAAGAGTAAAGGATGTAGACAAATTAACATCACCGATATGTGTAATAGATGCAGACTCACCTGTAGGTAGAGTCACAGGAGAAAGATAAGGTGTAGATATAGGATTTGAAAGGTTATTAACAGAACAAGTCATATGGTTTGTGGCTCCTGTATCAATAATCCATGTGTGAGAATCAAAAAAATGCTTACCGACCAAATTAGCTGCAAAGTTGGCAGAAGCTGAAGTAGATGAATTCCCTAACTGTAAAGGATTAGAATTAGATCCAAGCAATGAAACCAGTTGATTATATTGCTCTAGAGTGAGTGGTGGTGCTATTGTAGGAGAATCAACAAGCGGAGTAGCCTGAACATGATTAGCACGCGGAGTGCTAGGGAATCCATGTAGAACATAGCAGCGGTCTTTTGTATGTCCCAATTTTTGACAATGATCACAATATGGCCTACCTCTCTTGGGCTTAGAATTATAATTGGTACGTTGACCATTTGAAGATGGATTATCACGCACCTTTTGTGAGTAAAAAGTAGATGTAGCAAAATTGCCATTTTGTGATGATTTAGAAAGAATGTCACGTTGTTTTTCTTCTCGTAACATCAGAGAATAAGCCTTGTTAACTGCTGGAAGAGGATCCTTTAATAGGATTTGTGACCTAACAGAACCATAAGAATCATTAAGCCCCATTAAAAATTGCATCAGTTTCTCTTGTTGCTGGATGTTAGAGAATTCCTTCATAGCTCCACATGTGCATGTTGGTAAAACAACATAAAAAGATAACTCATCCCACAGTGCTTTGAGTTTATTATAATAAACAACAACAGATTGTTGTTCTTGGGAATTCATTACGATGGCTTGTCGTAACTCATAAACTTTCACAGCATTTCCTTGTGAAAAGCGTTCTTCAAGCTCTTGCCATATTGTATTGGCAAGATCTGCATAGATGATACTTTCACAAATTTCTTTAGAGATTGAATTGAGCAACCAAGAGATTACCATGGTGTTGCAACGAGTCCATGATTGAAGATTAGGAGAATCACTTGCTGGCTGCGGCAAACTCCCATCAACAAAACTTAATTTTTTTTTTGCAGTGAGTGCAATGATAACAGCACGACGCCATGTAGCATAATTGTCACCGGTAAGAGGAGTAGACACTAAAATATTGCCAGGATTATCTGACGGGTGAAGATAAAAGGGATTATTGTACTGATCAATGGATGAAAAATCAGCAGTTTGGTTTCCACTCCTGTTGATTGAATTTGGCGGATCATCGAAAGCCATGAGTTTTGCTCTGATACCATGTAAAGTTTTGTGAAAGATTTTTAATATTTATTCATCGTGAGTGACAGATACAATATATACAAGTCTAGATATGAAGCAGTTACATAGTTTGCAAATAAAAGGAGAAAATCAAGGAAAGCTAATCCTTATCTTTATCTAAACAGAAAATCAAAACAGCAAAACAAACTACTTTCAAAATTCAAATCTGTTGCATCAAAAATCTGCTCCAGAATCTTCTGTTTCAGAAACTGTTGCAGTTGCAG